GCCATCAAGAATGGAGGTATAAATGTATTTGTAACTAAAAATCGCTTGCTAATCAATAATTTATATCTTACAAATAGGTTACTAATACAAGTGAAAGGGTGAAATTTGAGCTATATGTGAATAAAATAAAACAGCGATAAAAAAGCAATAATGCAACAAAAAGCACATAAGCAGGCATGCTACAATTTCGATTCTCTGAAGAAAAAGTTTTCAGAAGAATCAGTGCCTGGTTGAGTTAGAAAAAGGAAATCACAACCAGACTTGTTCAGGAGAACGAAGAATCTTCGTCCAGACAGATACACAAAAGAGAAAAAGCACAGAGAGGCATTAGAGAATTACCAAGCAAGTTATAGTTTGTCTACGGATAAGAACTCCCCCGTCAAAAAGCTTGGGGCCGTCTGCTGCTATGGTAGCAAGAAAAGCGCATTTTAGGGAGGGTGGTTTCTCTCCACTCTAGGGCTAACACAGTGGACCGAAAAAAAAGTTTCTCTTTCTCTCGCCGACACGAGCCAAAACCTGTCCTAAACAGTAATCCCACACCCCTATTTGAAAAAGTTATACCTTTTTACCATAATCACCATTACGGCTCCAGACGAAAACAGGGAGAAAGAAGGTTGATAAGCAAGAAAATGGGGACAAGCTTGAGCAAGACAATCAACAAAAGATGGTAGATTAACAAAAAAAACAAGTGTTTTGAAAACTTTGGTGTCTCAATATGTTCAAATTAAGAGATTAGAAATAATATGGAAGACTAAATTATAAGAATTTTACAGAATATGAAATGATTTCGTTCTAGTTTAGTGGCGAAGGATCAGTGTTGAATGGTTTTAGCAGAAGAAAGCTCAATCTTATGATTTGAAGTCCAGCTATATGGGGTGAATGAGGATAATCTAGTATCTTATTTTTGGGCAAATATTTCATATTCGTTAAATTGAAGATAAAGGGTACGTTTAGTACCTTTAATCTTCCATAATACGCTATAATACGCAGTAAATAATACGCAAGACCACTCTGATGATTTGTTTTTTTATATTCCAGCTATTAATGTCCTTAATCGTCCTTAAGGTTGATGAAATTTAGCTACTTATACGTAATGAAAACTACTTTAAACCGAGATTATCAGTGTAAGAAACTAAAACTGTGTCGCAAGATTGATGAGAATTCTCAGCCATGTCAATTTTATAAAAAAGGGCTTCAATAAAAAAAGGGAAAAAAAAGAATCAATGCATTAGGATCGACCGAAAAACGTGTTTCCTTTATGACTATAGCATGAAAAATTTCTGTATGTTTTCCTAAGTAATGACCGGCCATTTTGATTAATTGCTCAATATAGGTAGTCATTTTTCTCACATTCTCATAGGACCAGCAGTGGACTAATCGTAAAGACACGGTTACCAGTAGAACAACAGCAGTAGATCTCATGTAGTCCAGCAGTGGACTAAAGACACAGTTACCAGTATAACACCAGCAGTAGTTCTCATGTAGTCCAGCCGTGGACTAATAGTAAAGACACGGTTACCAGTAGAACAACAGAAGTAGATATCTTGTAGTCCAGCAGTGGACTAAAGACACGGTTACCAGTATAACACCAGCAGTAGATCTCATGTAGTCCAGCCTTGGACTAATAGTAAAGACACGGTGACCAGTAGAACAACAGCAGTAGATCTCATGTAGTCCAGCAGTGGACTAATAGTAAAGACATGGTTACCAGTAGAACACCAGCAGTAGATATCATGTAGTCCAAATCATTAAAAACAAATACTTTTTGAGATAAAATACTTTTTGAATTACTTTAAAAATACTTTTTGAATTTCGTCTGAACTATATATTTTTCTTCCTTTATAACTCTATTTTCAAAGTTATTTCATTGTGTCTACTATGAGATGATGTATAGAAGTTATGAATTTAATATTTATAACAAAGCAAAACATAAACATTTATTGAAATGAAATATGAATTAATTTAGGTTTCATAATAGAAATTTAGGATCAGAAAACGCAAATAGTTAACAGGTATAGATAATAGGAAATGCCTGTGTTTTGTATGATTTTCATCCAAAAAATTTCAGAATTTTTTTTCTGTCTCCCTTCGAATTCTTCTACCTCCCTTGCGTCCTCTATCCCAGTTGAGCTTTTTCTTCTTATTTATCATCCGTGGAGGCGATTTTCTCGCTTTCACGCAAACATTTAAACCAGAAGACTGTAGATGTAGATACATATGTTTCCATTAATTCAGCAAGAATTTGACAGGATGTTTTTGACTTTATTGCCTTTGGAGATCACTTTAATAAACTTATCTTACTGTTTCCGGAGTAAAAGAAATCAACCCATTCTTTTTTCAAAATACAACTCACTTTGCTCTTAAATGTTTGTTTTTGAGCAAGATACCAAAATGTAATTTGCGACTTTTTTTTTCTAGCCTATACTTTCTAGCTGGGGCATACAGAAATTAATGGAACAATTTTTAAAAAATATATGGTAGTAATTAATGAGCGTTAGGGTTTATTTATATGTATATACAGTTGGACCTGTTTATCTCGAATCTCAAAGGAAAGGCGAAAAATTCGAGATAGAGGTTTTGAGTCATACGGGGACTTTAAAAAAATTAAAGTTAATTAAGAAATTATATTAAAAGCACTTTAAATGCTTTTAATAGAAAAATACAGGCATTTCTGTAACTTAATTATCTTTATCTATTACTATTTACTTAAGTTATTATTAGTATCCATTTACTTAAATTTTTGTTTTAAATACATTTAACTCTGAAAATAACTTTTCAAACATTTTTGACGTCTAACCTTTTTTGTTCCGATTATTCTTTTAAGGTTAGAAAGAGTAGTAAATCCCTCATAGCCAACAATTTCCTGGGATTCAAGAATAGTTTATAAGGCTTTTACAGCTTTTTCTACTTCGATTCGCACTCACGTTTGATTTATCAATATGATCTTCAGCTTCCTCTTCAGCTGACATTCCCTTGACATTATCTATGATTTCCGCATCTGTCAATGTTGCCAGGCAGTTGTCCACATGTAGAAAACTTCAAAATTTATGCCAACATTAAATTCCGATTTTATTGCATTCCATTATTGCGAATCCGGCACTGCATTTCCAGAGTCAACAATTTTTTCTTCTTTACTGATGCCTTCAACTTCTTGTTCATCATCTTCACAGCTATTCTCAAAACCTGCATTTTTAAAACCATTTCGGATAGTTTTTAGAGACACATTTTTCTGGGCACAACAGTCATTATGATAGCATTCAACACATTTATTTTTGGAAGAGAACTTTTTTTCATTGATGGCATCTGCAAGTCACCTTACCAACTGCTTCACTTTAAAACTCCTTATTATCGTTTGATCCACTGGTTGCAATTTTGAGGTGAAAATGAATATCTATTTCTAGCTTTGTTATCTATGTTGATAAGCTATCCCCTGGGGGTCAGTCCGTCCTACTCAACAACCCCTAATTTACTGCCAGAATCATTGTATTCCTTTCTGGTTAAGGAATTTCAGAGATAGTGATCGTAATTCCAAGAAACACATTATTACTTTCTTTGAGTTCACGAAATTCATCTCTGTCTGCAAGTTCTACTGATAAAGAGAGTTTCGGCATTTGTTCTCTATTATTAGAAATTTTGAGATATGGAGGTTTTCAAAATAAAGAAGGGTTCGAGATAAACAGGTTCAACTGCATATATAGTTAAAAATATAGAGTAAACAAGGAAAAAGATATAGTATTTAACGAAGAAACAACTATTAAAAGATGTTTTTAAAACATTTTCACAAGTTTAAAAATTTTTAAATTAAATATTGGAGAAAATTAAAAAAAAATTTGGAAAAATATAAGGAAAAGATTTAATTTCGTCATCAGTTCACACGATTATATCCGCAAAAATAGTGCTTTCTAATATTGCATTAATATAGCTAAAGCATAACATATCAATACAATAGTGTGAGGAGCATCAAAAAATATTACAGAAATTACAAAGCAAAAAATGTATAATAAAAAAAATGCAAAATAAAACAATCAAGCAAAATCAGAACATAAAAACTGAAGAAAATATAGAATAAAACTCAAGTTGTACTATATGAAGCGAGTTGTGAATTCAAATGTACTTAAACTAACCGGCATTCTTCAAAAATGATTTAAAATGTTTTCGAAATTAGTTTGCTAGCTTACAAAATGTAGAAATAGAATCGTAAATCGAGGATAAAAGGAATCAACTAATATCGCGTTGTTACTGTAGTAATGAAGCACGTTTGAGTTGTAAGTAACCTTGGATTGGCCCTAATCTGGATGTGCGCAAAGTAATAATATAATACTGCTAATTCAATGTTAATGATAAATAAGTTAAATTTTAAATATAAAATTTTAATATTAGCTTGGTTGAATTTAGAAAAATTATTAACATTTAATTAAAATATTTAAAAAAAAATTATTTTGGAAAATTCTTTTTTAAATATTAGAAGATTTTTTAGCCTTTTAGTGAGTTCTATTTTTGTTTTAATTTTTCTGGTGCTCCTTACACTATAGTATTGACATGTTTTGCTTTGGCTATATTAATGCAATATTAGAAAGCACTATTTTTTTCAGATATTATCGTGTGAGCTGATGGCGGGATTATATCTTTTCTGATTTTATTATTTTTTTCCAATATTTTCTTTTTAAATTTAAAAATTTTTAAACTTGTGAATATTTTTTAAAAACATTTTTTGACAGTTTTTAATTCTCCTTAAAAAAATCTCTATATCTTTTTTCTTGCTTTCTCTATATTTTTAACTTATTTTATGAGTTCTATGTCTGAGTCTTATGTCCAGTAAATAAAACGTATTATTTTTCTTAATTTCCCGCGTTATTCTCTTGTTTCTTTCATATCTTATTTGTCTTTATTATGTTATATATATCTTAAAATTGTTAACTTTTCATTATCATAGAGTTATAGTTTACGATTCACGTATAAGAATTAAATATCTTACATTACTAATTGAACTTTTTCTATAGGGTTTCGTTACGGAATCGCCAATCAAGAAGTAAATAATGACTCAACGGAAAAAAATAATGAATATCGTGAACCTAATTTTAACGAACCCGAAGGACCAGGTAAGGATTTACGAACATTGTTATATGTTTTATTTCAATTATTACAATTATATCTAGTTACACACGATAGTAATTTATGTGCCTTGAAGCAAGGGTGTCCCTCTCCCCATGGCTGATGAGGGACATTTAAAATGTCAGTACATTCCAAGAAAATAAAAAAATAAATGCATTTTTTTTAATTTACAGTCTTTGGCCGAATTATTTGTCGCACTATAAGATTCTATGTAAAATCTTAATTATCAGGTCATACTATACAGCATTATTGTTTTTACACTGCTGAAATCGGTTAGCACTTGCTTGCATTAGTGTATCAATTAGTTGAATTAGACGATATATAAAATAAATTGAACGATTGAATAAATTAGATGGTGGGCTGCGACCCCTGCTCGCTAACGCTTGCCAACCCCCGAAAATTGCTACGCAATCTTATATGGTTTGCTTCGCAAACCAAGCTCGCTTCTCTCGCAACTAACTTAGGTGCATTGCAAATGTACAAAATTCTAAGAATTCAAAACAATCATTCAAATCCATATAAAAATTTTTTTTTAAAAAAAAATTACATCTTTTTAGTAAATACTAAGTCATTAAAATAAATTTGAATTCAAATAAATGACACGTAATTCGTTAAACCTATTAGAAATGTGCTATAGTATAATTCGTGATATAAATCAAAAATCGTCAAATAAATTCGTAATATATAAATTCGTGAAAAAAAGCGCTTTCGACAAAATACTAAAATAGAGATCTATCGACAAAGACTACTCACTTCCGCCTAGCTTAATAGTATGAGATTGCCGCAGCTGATGCTCTCTGGTTATTTCCGTTTCCGTTTTTAAAAGCGCTATATGTTGAGCCACCTCAACTAGATTTGGCATGCGACATTTTTAGCGGCGATCATGGGTCGATTCGCAGTGTAAGAGAAATAGTAACGTAAACAAAACAAAGCAAACGTTGCCACCGGTGGAAAAGAAATACAGCCAAAATTTGGGAGCCTCGTAAGAGAATTATATATATTAGATATTATATAAATATAGATTATTTATTATATCAAGCATTATATTAGTATATTGTAATAATTAGATCAAATTATTAGACGCACTGTGGTGTTTTAATAATTACATGATTTGCACACGAGTTTAGATGCAACACTTTTATATTTAAACATACATGTAATGTGTTTTTATTCAGGAGATTTTTTTATATACTTCCCATTTGTACTTATTTTTAACGTATTGCATTACAATGTTAACCAACTGATACGCGAACATAAACAAGTGCAAATTGGTTTCATCCGCATAAAAACAATACAGCTGTATAGTATCACCTGATAATTATAATTTTAAATAGAATCTTATAGTGCCTCTAATAATATGGCTAGGCACTGTAAGTAGCAACAATAGTAACACAATGCAAATCCAGACATTAATTCCACTCTTAACTATAAGTAATTTTTTGTAAAGCGAAATTCATAGAAGACGAAATTAACTTAGTGAAAAAGAATTACGGAAAAATTAGCTCGAAAAAGAAAACACCTGAAAAAGAGGTCTCTTTATCATTGTAAGGATAATCTCCCACACAAAATACTTATGTATTAGGTTTAAAAATTGTGTTACTTTCACAAATGATTTGAATCTCTCTAATTTAGTGTAATGTATGCTTGATAATGCAGACGTTTCATTTTTATAAATTATGAAGGTGGGAAAAGTCGACATGCTTCGTCACGTCCGGCATCAAAAATTGCTGGTGCTTAAATCATATATTTAATTTCTATAAAGTCAAAATTCTTTCCCCGGACCATATAGCTCATCTTGATTCTTTGGAATCCTATTTCATTTAGACGAACGACTGTTGCCTGGTTAACGACACTAGTTTCTTACCATACTTTCATAGCCCTTTGGAATGCAACATGCACTGGTTTGTTAATCGACTAGGGCAGGGGTGGCGAACCTTTATACACCACCGTGCCATTTTCTCTAAAAAATTGCTTAATGAGGTCATAGACGTGCCGTCAAATAATTTGACTTCGTGATTATTGGGAAAATAATAATACTAAATACTATCATCTCAAAACTCTTTATTTACATTGAAAAAAAAAACACATTTTGCAATATCTCAGTTATACGCGTAATTCAACTTTACAGTAACATCAGCGTGACTTCTGTTGTTGCAGATTATATTGACAAATATTGACAAATATTAGGTTGTAAGATGTTAGTTTAAGCAGGACTGTTAATTTTTTTTGCTAGTTATTTATTGTTAGCTTGTTTTTTATGGTTATTAATGGTTTTTTTATCATTAATTTTTAATTTTTTTATTAATAATTGTTTATTATTTTGTTTATTATTTTGTTTGTTTTTTGTAAATTTTAATTTAATTGTTACATAACACGCGTGCCATTGGTTCGCCATCCCTGGAATAGGGCATTTTTTTTCTCCATTTCTTCATTCACTTTTGGTGTTGTAAAAATAAATTACTTTTTTAAGTACCGCTAATTTGTTTGAAATCAATGAAGGAAATATAAAAATATACTTGTTTTTCATTTGTAGTCTGTTTAATCGAATGATTAGTTACAGCGCAACACTGATTTATGTTTATTTACTTAAAGAAAAACAAAAATGAAACGCGAAAGTTGAAAATCTGAAACAATGACAACATCATAGCTCACAATTTTTAGTATAGAGTTTTTCTTTTTGAAAATAATATTGATCTGATTACACGCATGCAAATTTTTATATATTGTATAAGTCACCGTTAAAGTGCATAATTCAGTTATTTCTTATTATAACTGGGTATTTCATGAAATAACTGGACAAGTTAGTTAAAGTATGTAATAGATGAAAAATGTCATACTTTTCCTAGTTATTCTATGAAATAACTAATGATAGACCATTAAAGTAAAAACTAAACAATTGCAAAGTTATTTTAAAAATTAATTCATCATAAATAGCGTAAATCTCCCAAAAAATAAATTGTATCCTTATTACGAATGATTAATTGGATAATAATAACAAGGAAAAGCAGATGATATAATTTATTATTGGCCATATTAATAACGAAATCTAAAATCAACGAAAATGAAGCGTACACATATATGTAAATGAAGAGCAGCGATAAGCGGTTCAAAACTGGCTAAAGGCAGATAAAACCGGTTTTAAGAGTGCCGTATTTCAAACTTTAACGATCGAGTAATCGTTAATTCTATAGAATACCAAGTTAAATCGTAGAATTAAATAATTATATACATTTAATACTTTACCCATCCTAGGATTGTCTTATTTTATGAAATACTTAGTTGTTCTATGAAAAAAAGGATTTCACACTTTAACTGTAACATGTACACTGAAGAGCCATTACATTATGACCACCCTGCTAATAACATGTAGGACCACCTTTAGCCCTCAGAACTGCTAGCACCCACCATGGCATTGATTCCACAAGGTGCTGATAGGTAGTCTGAGGTATCTGGTACCAAACGCTCACCAACTGGTCCTGCAATTCCCTCACATAGCGAGGGGGTAGCGTGGCAGCACGAATTTGGTTTTCCAAGTAGGACCACAAATGCTCTATTGGATTAAGGTCAGGTGAATTTGGGGGCCAAGACATGACTTGAAAGTCAATGGAATGTTCCTCGAACCAATCCATGACGATTCGACCCTTATGGCATGGTGCATTATCCTGCTGGTAAACACCATCCCCCGCAGGAAAAACTGATGTCATGAATGGGTGAACCTGGTCTGCAACTATGTTCAAGTAGCTTAACGGACGTCAGGGATTGTTCTAAGAGGATTATGGATCCTAATGTGCCCCATGAGGACATTGTTCCTGGGCGAGAAACCATGAAAACCTGGGGGAGCCCATTGTTATAGATGGAGGGTGGTCATAATGTAATGGCTCTTCGGTGTACATCAGTATTTTAATTTATTATTCATGTAAGTTTACAAAAAAATAAATTTTAGCAACTTTAGCTAGTGTGTATTTTGCAATTTATAATTTGCATCTTTGTTTCTTAAACAGGTTTCAGAAGCCGCAAGCTGCTCAATTGTAAGAATATTATTTCAACTTATATTTTGTGCTATAAGTCAGAATACACTTAATCTTTCTTTTTCTACGGTATCTAACAAATTTTAACTGATTTCAACGATTTAAATTTTTTTTAGACGACCGTGATTGGAACCACGTAGAACATCATGAATATGGTGAGTCATATGAAGTTTGTTTTATAACCGGTGTTGAACAACGGACCCAATTCTGAGTTTATGAGATGTGGTGGCTCAGGGGATAGAGGCCTTCCCACCGGGTTCGAATCCCAGTGATGACTATTCAATACGAATTCTGTTCCTGGTTTGCACCGATCACTACTGACGTAAAATATCATTAGTGTAAGACCAATCATGGGTTAGAGATCACTTACAGTCAGCCTAACAGTGGATGGTTTTCGTAATTTCCCTCCCCATGTAACTCAAATGCTGATTAGTTCCATCAGGAAAGTCCTCCACGATGGCAAATTTTTTAAAATACTTGATCCAGGTTCCCTTGTCTTCTGGACTGGGTTCAACATTCCAAGGCTATGGAGTAGTCGGGAACCCAAAAATTGTGTCTGCATGAGCTGCTATAAAATTATGAGATTATAACTATCAATGGTGGACTCCAAACTCTTGTACCTCACCGAGAAGACGAGGAACTCCTGACTCAAGAGTTGGGAGAAACTAGCCTTCCTTTACGAATTAACTAACTTAGGAAATAACCCATGTTTACGTTGCATGGAGAGGAGTAGCTCCCCCGGTTAGACTGATGGCGTCAAGGGGATTCTTTCCCTTGATACATCTACCACTGAGGATATTTTACGTCAGCAGTGTGGTCAGTGTGAGCTGGGAGAAGAAATCGTATCAACCAGTCACTTCTGGAATACAAATTTGGGTCCCCTTCTTGGAAGAATTCCACCTGTTTCACGGAACGCTCTATCCCTTGAGCCGCCACGGCTTTAATTTGTCGTTAAAATATATTATGATGTACTATACTATCTCGTATACGTGTCAGCATGGCACGCTTTCATCTTCCGGTCGACACGCTGGCGTACCAGACTGATTTTTCTTCCACTACTAGCCATTACATATGTGTGGCAATGTTCCGACACGAATTAGCAATATAATTTTGACATAAGAGAGCATTGTATGTCTACGGGATTTGAGATGCTTGTAGATTTGATCTTCTACTCGAAATGAGAAACCTATGACTCACAAACATGTGGTTTTTGAGGCACATGAGGGGAAAGGAACGTTTTGGAATTGCATGCTTTAATGCGGTACTTTAATTTTATTATATGGTATTTGCTTATAGTAATTGCGAGAGTTTTATTTTCTTTAGAGTGTTGTGTAGTTAGGCTTGCAGACTAGTTTCCGATTGATAGTTATCTCGTATAAAAATCAAGTTTTTCTGTACTTACCGTTATGTCGAAACGTCAAAAATACATAATTGAACTCAAACCAGCTGAAATTGTGCAAAAATATGCTTAAAAATAAAATAAAAACTTAAGTAAATAAAGTAAGTTAGTAAAAAGTATGTACGCTGTATGTTATTTTATATTATAACCGTCTTTGATCAGCCGACCCAATTTCGGCTTTAAGACAAGTAATGTTCAACTCCGTAGCCTTGTAATTTTGAACCCAATCCAGAAGACAAGGGAATTCCTGGATCAAGTATTGGAAGAAATGTGCCTTTTTGGAGGATTCTTTGAGGGAACTAACCCGCATTTGCGTTACATGGAGAGGATGACCACGAGAATCTCCCACGGTTAGCCTGACGGAGGATTCGTACCAGGTCCACCTCACTGGAAAGTGAACGCTTCATCCCATGAGCCATCGTGGCTCGCTACATGTTATTTATCTTTATAGTATAATATTAAAGAACGTTCTTATTTCGGTGATTTCATAGATAAAGACTTAATACCAAAATACACGCCCGTTTCCTGACAGGCGCTCGCGGAAAGTGTTCTCTTTGCTAATTCATCGCACTCTGCAGAAAATGACTAAATTTAAGGATACCTATAGCAGTGGGTCTACTTCTGCATTTGAAATTTTGGTTTCTCCCAATTTTTTTAAAGCAATTACATAGTTGCAGTTTTCATATTATATTTTATTATTTTTATAGGTAAATTTCCCTTAGGAGAAGGACTAGTAAATCATGGTATGTAGCATTACATGTTGTTGTATTTAAAAAAAACTACTCTTTGATGTCCATTTAGAAAATTGTAAACAAAAACATTTTATGTATCTTGTATTTTATGTATCTTGGCATTTCCGGCAAAATTAAAATTCCTAGTGCACTTTAGAATCAAAATAGAGTCTCGGTGCTGCCATCTAGTGTGACAGAAACTAGACGTCCAAATTAACTTGGACAACGGTATCCTACCCATTGTGGTGGTCCTGAAAGAGTGGATATCACTTCAGGAGAACGCACTAGGTCTGCTCATCGGGAAGACTGATTGTGCAGCTCATTGGAAATAAAAAAAGACATTTTATGTGTCACAAAAATAGATAATAAATTTATTTACACGCAATATGTAAATTGTTTAGCAGGCAATAATTGTCTTTGAAGTAATATTCCTTAGAAATTTAACTTATGCTATGGTTATTTAATTATGAACTTGAAAATTTAGTTACTTAAATTTTGTATTCAAAAAATTGTATTTACATTAATTGTCAACGAGTATATTATTTTACTATAAATCCTAATTCTCATTCTTTCTTTGGTTTATGTACAACAGGGTTAAATGAGAAAGGGCATAGTAGATAGCATTGAAAATTTTTATTTTGATACCTTTTACGTTAAGGATAACTATATGAAATTTAAGAGCAATGAAATAGATAACTCATCAACTTGAATGCTTGCTGCAAATCGTTTTGCATTTAATTTATATTTAATTCTTAATACTTTAAGTAATAATAACTGGTAGCGAGTAATCCGAAGAAATTGCCAATCATACTTGCCAACGGGTAGGGGAGAGTGGGGTCAATTGTAACATTTTTTTACTTAACTATTTTTAACTAACAAAAAATCCAATATATTATTAGTATTAATTGACAGACCAGTAAAGTAGACTATCCTCTACTAGAAAAAAAATTAATACCTTATTTTTAATGTTACTATATTAGTTATTAACAATTTTTGACAATCGTGCACTTGTTACAATTGTCCCCACTTACGGGGTCAATTGTAACAGTTCATAAATTCAACTAAAACATAGTTAATTATACATATTATCCTAGTTGTGATATATTTTTTTATTGATCAAAATAGTAGTGATGTCTTAGGAGTAAAAATAATAATGAGCAGAGACCTAAAGGGTTCAACTTTTTACTTTAAGGGGCTAAAAATTTTAATTTATACTGTGAAAGGTGACAAATAAAATAATGCACATGCAACATAATATAAATGATATAGGAAACTATTCTTAAAGAGTTAGGTAATGGATTGTAATCATAAGATTATCTATTTTCAGCTGTTACAATCGTCCCTTTACTTATTGTTACAATCTTCCCCAAAACGCAATTTCAGCTTCATTTGTTAAAAACAATGCTAGTTAATTAACAAAACTAATATTTTTTTAAATTTTAATTAAGGTGTCCACTTACATATTCGGTTAATAATTTTTATTGGTTTAAACAAAATTACTTTGTTACAATATAATATTCTAATACCAAAAAAAGTACTTACGTAGCGGGAAAATATCTTTTGTGATGTAACTCTTTCAAAAGTACATAAAAATGGTTGCCAGCAGGGGTGTACATGTAGATTTATTAAATACACCTTGTGCTCCACCTAGGAACCAAATCTAGAACCCGACACTCGAAATTTTTGCTCTGTTACAATCATACCCTGTTACAATTGACCCCACTCTCCCGTACTAAATTTGATTAAAGTGGAAAAATGTATACGTTTTGAGCGCTTGAAAAAAAGCATTCTACAAATAGCAGCACTTAAATGATGAAAATGAAACTGGTTAAAAATAAGGAAACGCACAATTTCAAATGGAAGAAAATAAGACGAACTGAACAAGGGGGCAGTGGTGAAATTCGAAGGCTATTTGTTCAACACGTTCATAAACAAGGTTGGTAACATCCCCAATTTATATAACATATTAATGGAATTCCTACAACCAAAGTTTTAAGCATTGCAACTGAAAACACTGTTTAAAACAGAGATGTCAGTGTTTTATTTCTAAGAAAAAAGTTTATTTTCAGATCTCCATATATACGTTTTTCACGATTCCATACATACGTTTTTGTTTCAAAAACATTTATATAATATTTAAATAAAAATATTAAATACATATTTAGAGTATATTTATATCAACAATATATATTTAGAGTAAAATATTGTTGTTAGAGTTAAGGCTTACACTTGCTGTTATTTTCTCTCCCTAAAGATCTCGTAGACTTAATGATATCTATTATAAAACATTTATTATAAAAAAATAATAAGTATCGCATTTGATTAATTTCTTCATAAGAAATATATTTAACGTTTATTTTACATTAAAAAATTTTTTTTTCTGTTATTTTCTTATTAGTCTTTGGTTATTATAATTGATATTTTTGTAATGTTTATAGGTTGGTTAGGTGCAGGGAAATATGACACAGGATATGGTACAGGCATGGGCAATGGCGGACAAGGTGTGTTACATTATTTGTATTATTTTTTAAGAAGTAAAACGTGCATTTTTCCGAATATTTTGATATTGTTAAATATTTTACTTTACTGGTAAAATTAAATTAACATTCAATTCACTAAATGAAAATTTAGATTTTTTTTACAATTTTTCATATGAAAATCAGTTTATAAGATGATATTTTTCATAAGATAATGGAGGAAGTGAGTCAAAGTCTTATCTTATGATGAAGAACTTAAATTTTAAAAAGACAGGCCATCAGTTTTGTTAAAATGTTTTTTTGTAATAAATTTGATATTTAAATTAATTGTAGGCCTTCACCTCTTAAACTACCCCACAGAAGAGGATTTGTATTCTTTTAATGCCATAGAAATAACAAAAACTATTCAAGCACACCATGAAATATGATTCAATAGAGGAATACGACACCAACCATTTAAATTAATGAGCTCAGCGGAATTATGTGATAATTGCATTCATGATAACACATCTAAAGATTTGAAATTATGAGAAATATTCGAATCTCTTTCATTAAATGGAAAAAGTAATTGGATGATTCATTACGTGAAGGCAAGATAAAATTGTTCTACATCATATTTATAAGCTCTTGATTTCTGGAAATTATTCGTATTTTTCATCATCTTTCTGCATTAATAAAAAAGTACTAAATGTTACGAATTTTTTCTTAGAACAATAGCGGAATTTATAGCATTTCTTTTTACATTTGCAAAGTACCATTTTTTTTGCTACCAATGTCAAAAATCTTCAACTATCATGTCTACAATGTTGCAAAGTATTGATTGAATGAATATCTAAAATATGTCTAAAAATTATAAGAATTTCTTAAGAATCTTGAATTAAATAAGTTTTTAAAGACACAAAAATCGGTGAAATTAATTATTATGCCTAAATTAATGCAAAATTTTATAAGTCAGAGGATTCACAGAGAGCTATTCAGATTTTAAGAATAATACTAAAATATAGTTTACTAACAGTTTTCGTTTCTTTTTTTTAAAAAAATACATTTATTTTAAACATGACAGAGCCATTTATATTGATTTAATTGCCATCGGTGAAAAATCTCGAATCCTTTATTAGTTGTTAGCTCTGTTCTCCGTTCGACACAAAAGTTTTTAGCTAGATGTGCAATGATCCCAAGTGGACAAAACTTGAATTCTATTTCGAATGTCGTTGCATCCTCGTGCAATGCCTTTTCCTTTTACTGATTCAACATTGGCCTTTAGTTCATTCAGTAATATCCCTGTTAGTATTTGCAGTCCAACGATTGACACTATCCGAAAACACTTGCTTGTGCCAAACTATGTTGGTCCTTGTACGCTTGTTAATTTGTTTAGCTTTCTCGTCTCATCAATATTCATCTCCGTGGTGTATGATCCTTTTAATAATAACAGTTACTTTTAATATTATTGTTCTTAATATCTAAATATTAAATCACATTGGGGATGCTAAACTACCTGTTGTTGCATGGTTTACAATACTTGATTTATTGTTTTAAATTTACACGTCATTAATATTGTGATTTTTTCTAATGTGTATCAATCTTTGTTAGTTTTAATTTTACTTTACTGTAATTTTGTAATGTTTGATTCTCACGTGGTGACGGATCGAACCCTTATCCGAAAACTCCTCCGGGAGTAGGTCGGCCACTATTAATCTTAATATTATTGTTTCTCAGGCCACATCTCGATCTACTGATATTTTTCAAATTGTTTAGTAGCGTAATTGATTATCTTTATTCTAACCTCTTAAGATGTGGAATAAAGGTTTGGTTAGGAGCTAGTAGTATTTTATATTTTTTGGTATTTGTTATATTTATATCTATTTCGATCAAGCTTTACTCACGACTGTTTTGAAACTTTGTTTCCCTTAACAGAAAAACCTTTAGTGTTACCGGCTGTCGTTTTTTTAACCTTATAATTTCCTCTGCTTTCAGATCATGGTATAAGTTGTCTCCTTTTATTTTAACAAAAATATCACTATTAAATAAATTTCGTCTTGTTCCGGTTGGTAGTTGCAGACTGAAAATGTCGTTAATCAAAATTAACCATAGTATAGGTCCGAGCACCCGTCCTTACAGCACTCCTATGTTATTTTCCTGTCTGATCTTGCTTTTGTTACCTTCGTTGAATACTGTCCAGTTCTTTAAAAAGCTCCTTATGACTAAAGCAGGAGTTATCGCGTCTTCAGTTTATTAATAGTATTGTTCCACTAAGCCTTATTGAATGCATTCCTAACATCCATTACAAAATCTAACATAAATTTCCCTTCAGCTTTGGAACTGTTAAAGAATTTTGTGACCTCGTGGTAGTTGACCTGTTTTTCCTGAAAATAAATTGACCTTGGTCCAGAAATCCTAATGTGTAGGAAGTAAACTATTCTATATGCTTGCCCTAAACTTTTCCTACTCTTGAGATTAGGCATTCAGGTTTCTTAGCATGTGATCTAGCTTTATTTTTTCTCCGTTTTTGGGCATTAGTACTAACTTTGCTATTCCCATGTGCTCAAGAACTATCCCTTGACAAAGCACTGATTGATTATATCTATTAGCCATTCGACAATAACAATGCAAATTTCATTAATGACTTCGTTTGTGATCTGGGCTAGTCATGCAGCTTCAATTCAATTTCTTCTTCACTAAGTTCTCTTCACTAAATAGCGGTTCTAAACTCATGTTTGTGAAAATTGCAACACCATGAAGGACATACGCGAGTGAGCTGAAATTTTCAGGAAATGCAAAGTAGAGCATAATATGCAAATGATTAGAATTTCAGACCCGTAGCGCATGCGTATGTTGAGCAGCGCCCTCTGAACGGCGGATGGATCCGAATAAATAGACGACTGTAGCCAAGCGAGTATGGTTATCGGTGGTTATCTGCTAGTGGTAAATGTTAGCTTAGTCATTACTTATGCCTATTCGACGAAAGAGAGCGAGATTTCAACAACTTACGGAGTTTAAACGGGGGAGAATCAGCGGCCTTCGTGAAGCTGGATTATCTTATCCTGCAGTAGCCGCTCGTGTGCAGCGTAACAGCAGCAC